CGCATCAGTCAGTTGCGTTTTGCGCTCGCTAGCCATACGGCGAACAGGTATATGCGGCTGCACGATGCCCATTGCCAATGGTAGGCGCGACTGGTTAGCTTGTGCAAACACTAAGAGTTCATGGCGGCTGCGTGTGTCTCCCAGAAAGGCCAGCTCTTCCCAAACAACGGCCATGAACGGGTGGTCTTCAATGGGTTTCAGCCAGTCCTGTGCAGGATCAAAATAACTCATTGTTCTAAGATGCTGGTCCAAAAAGTCGCCCACAAAAGGTCCGAGCAATAGGCAGAGAGACAATAACAAGCTCTAGCAGCTTTGGGGCAATGCGCTTGAGCGCTCTTTGAACAGGGTTTTTGCTAGTTCCGCTCGACATCACCTTCTCATGTACCAATGCGATGACACAACGCTGCTGATTGTCTGGCAACTGGAATATGCCCAGTAGGGCTCTGGCTGCCATCACGTTCGCTTCCGAGTTGCCTAGGTTCCCAGCTTCACAGAGAGCACGCGGCGACAGCGCATATACCGCTTTCAAAACTGAATCCAATGCGATCGAGTTCGCGAAGGGCGAGCTCGACAGCATGGATGCAGGCTTGCAAGCGTTGCGCAGTTCAAGCGGTCAACTTAGCAGGTGTTGCAACCAACTGCATAAGATGCGGACAGGTGATCATGGTAGCTGGCTCAGTTGCCTTGGTGTGGGAATGCGAGCGTTTCTCTCTGTCCAGGGACCAGGTCTATCCTCAAAGTGTTCAAACGAGGTTCTGGACAGGCAACTTGTGTTAGCTGTGTTAAGGTTCTCTGTTGGGTAATGTTGTACGCTCGCATGCATGAGCTGTAGCTGTCGACTTATCACTTCACGTTCTGCAACATTGACACGGGCTTCTACTCGATGCGCAGAATGTCTCTGCAGTCTTGTTCGTTGATAACACCTGCAAGGAGTTCTGTTTGTTGCAATGTCGCAAAGGTGTCTTCCAAAGTTCTTAGGGTGCTCGTTAGTTTGTTCACATAGTTCTGCAAAAGGAGGAGATCCTGTGCCTCATTGTGCCTCTGAGGTTCTTGTGGCAGGCATGCCAATTCACTTGGTTGCGCTGAGCTCATATGGCCAGGTGGCATTCACGCGATGCAGGTACTGGGTTGTCCTGAGCAAAAAATAATTGACGGGCGCCATGACTTGATGTACTTTGACATCGCACTACCCTACGATGCAACAGGTGAAGGTGGAACAACACAACAAACAACTCAGAAAAGGATTATTATACCCGCCCCCCACCGCCTCCCGTCCCATACTGGCTTTGGCATGCTGATAGCAAGGGTATTCGCAGCGGGCAGTAATCAACCATAAGTACCCCATGGTGACAACGCCTCTCCACCGCACTGTCACCAAGAAGTTGTGCTGGCAAACCTGAGCTGGCTCCAGCGTGTTGGCTGGAAAAGGAACGTAGCAGGCAGACCATGAGTACCCCATGGTGACAACGCCGCTCAACCTAGGTCAAGTTGTACGCTGATTGCATGGAGAGAGACATGGGTACTCTGTGTTATTTGGTGTGTCTTACTGGAACCGCTCGTGTGGGGTAGTGCGAGGGTCATCACTGCTACCAGCACCACTGGCTGCAGCAGTGACGGGGAGTGGATCACTGCTCTCCGCTGGTTTCATCATTTGGGCGATGAGCGGGTGAGCCTGCTTGTCACGCAGGATGCGCGTCATCTCGCGAGTAAATGCTGCAGGGTCATCAACTAGTTTTTTCGCGTCCGCCAGTGGCTTATCCAGGACAATTGCAATGAGCATTTCACCACCATCTTTGTGGCTTATTTTGGGTCGGCCAGCTTGTATCTCGGCAAGGATTGCCACTGCCTTGTTTTCACACAAAGTACGTTCCCATTCCTCCAGAGCTCTCTGCGCAAGGGTGTCAGTCTGCAGTGGGGCTTTCAGGGCAGCTGGTGTCCCTAACGCTCGTAGGAAGGGGCTATCAGGAGGAATGGGAGGTGAGAAATGCTAAATGGCTGCGACAGCACGTTGGACGTCATTTGCTTGTACATCATAGGACGTGGTCGTTTTTTGCTTATAGCAGGTTCAGAGTCAGCCCATAGTTCCTCCAGTGTATATCCTGGTTTCGGTTCCATATACTTGCGGTTCCACACTGCATGATGGGACCATTGAGGCGCGTCATGGTTGATTTCAACAGAATCACGTTTCATGTCATATTCTTTGAGCATATCATCTAATTCTTGCAAACTAGCAGCTCCATGAATGCAACATTGTCTGACAGCGCCATCGATGTGGAGTGGCCATCCCACTGGCATGTGGGAGTCTTCCAGAAGTCCGTCACCATTTTGCTCTATGATTGTACCTAACATAGGGACATCAATACAATCGGGGGAACAAAATCAAATGACAGAAATTTGGCTTACAGTTGAAGGCTGCAGCTTTTTTCCGCTGCAAACATGTATTTTTTCTGCCTCACAACTTTTTCTGCCTCAAACACGCGTTTTTTCCGCATCGTGGCTGGTTTTTTCACTTCAATTTATGTTTCCAACAATTGCTGCCATTTCGAGCAATTTTCGAGGAGCACTTCGAAAAATTGCAATTAACGTGCAGACTTACAGACATTCCGCCAAAAAGACTTCAAGCAATTTCAGATTTTTTTGGGAAACTTAAGGAAAGCAAAGCACCTGAAACGACTTCGGAGACTGAAGGCTTGAGGAAACTTGAGGGAACTTAGTCCAATTAAAAGAAGCTTGCAGAGACTTCGAGACACTCGAGGAAACTTAAAGAAGCTTGAGGCGGCTTAAAAGACTTTATGCGACTTAAGGCGACTGAGGGGAATGAAAGGAACTCAAGAGACTTGAGACAACTCAATTATTTTTTTTGGCTGTCATGGTTGTTGTTCTTGTGTTGTTGTTGTTGTTGCTGCTGGTTGTTGTGGTTGTTGTGGTTGTTGTGGTTGTTGTGGTTGTTGTGGTCGTTGTGGTTGTTGTGGTTGTTGTGGTTGTTGTGGTTGTTGTGGTGGTGGTGGTGGTTGTTGTTGTTGTGGTGGTGGTGGTGGTTGTGGTTGTGGTTGTGGTTGTGGTTGTGGTTGTGGTTGTGGTTGTGGTTGTCGTCGTCGTCGTCCTTGTCGTCGTCATGGTTGTCATCGTTGTCCGGTGAAAGGGGCAGCCCGGAGGAAAGTCATTGTATGCGTTCCATGGCACGTGCTGCTCCCCATGCTCCTCATGCTGCACATATTGTCCATGCTGCCCATGCTGCTGCGGGTGGTGGTGGTGGTGGTAATGGTGGTGATGGTGGAGGTTGTAGTGGTGGAGGTGGCGGTGGTGGTGGTTGTTCTTGTTCTTGTTGTTGTTGTTCTTGTGGTTGTTGTCGTTCTTCTGCTTTTTCTTCTTCTTTTTGCCGTTCTCGCTTGTATCCACTACCGTTGAAACATGTCGCTGCGTCCACCGCTGGACGTTTCAACTTTTCATTCGCGGACGGTTGTTTCAATGTTTGGTCGCCTTTGTCGCCTATTTGTCCATGCGCTATCCAGCTTACAAGTGGCGAACGCCCAGTGTGTGACTCCACGTTCTCTAGCTCCTTGTCTTCGCGCAGCGCGGGAAAAACACAGGTTCGCAGCAGGGAAAAAACATCGGAACGGAAAAAAACACGTTTGGCAGCAGGAAAAAAACGCCTTGCAGCGGGAAAAAGCTGTTTCCGCAGCGGGAAAAAACGCTAGCACAAAACGCCGCTTCGCAGCGGGAAAAATTCAAAGCAGCAGAAAAAAAAACTCGCAGCAGCACAAAAGCACCTTTGCAGCAGAAAAAATGCATTTTGGAGGCAGCGGGAAAAAACCGTCCGAGGCGGGAAAAAACCCGTCCGAGGCAAGAAAAAAACCGCCGAGGCAGGAAAAAATCCAGCAGCAGAGAAAGTCCAGCTTTGCAACCCAAAAAGTTGCCGCAACGGAAAAAATACATTTCCGCAACGGGAAAAAGCAGCAGCCCTGTAGTACAGTTGATAGCTGCTTTTGGACCTCGCAGGCATCTCTCGACTCATTCTGTATGGCTAGTTCGGCAGCGGCGAAGCCACGAGCCCGTCCTCGCAAAGTCATTGCAATCCAAGACCTTGATGCACTAAAAGCCAAAAAGCAACAGCTAAAACAAGATCTCAAAGAGATGAATAAAACGGTGAAGGTGCAACAGCAGAAGAAAAGACGTCTCATGAAAGCTGCTCACAATTTGCACGATGAGGACCTTTTATGGCTTCTACGTGAACGTCAAACCCAACGAAGTGAAGACCCTAATTCTGCTCAGGATCAAAATGGAGATGCGGCTGAAGATTTATCGGCTGAGAATGTCGAGCCCAATGAGACAGTGAATAGTGAGGAACATGTGAACAGAACCAGTGACGGTGCTCAATCGAATGAGTGAGTGCTGGCAATCAAAGAATCTCCAGTCAGCTATCAAAGAGTAGTCAGCTTTGTCTTGCGTTACCTCTTTAAGTCTTCTCACATCAACTCCCAATGGATGATTGATGCACTTCTCTTGTCAGCAGAATCGATGATCGAGGATTGTTCGTGATTTGTCCGCAGAGAAGAGAAATGTTTTCTCTTGCTTTTCAAAACCAGAACTGAGTCGTCGCTTGCATGAATAGCAAAAAGAGCTTGAGCGTTGCACTGCGTGTCATTAATCTCGTAACATTTGAATGGTTGTGAAAAAATATGCTATCTCGTGTACGACGTGTCTTTTGGCTTCAGGTCCTGAAATTTGAATGATTATGCTTAATATCCTCTTTTCCATTATTTGTTTTCCATTATTCACTCGTTCTAGAATTATACAATTGTTTCGTAGGAACGTATTTCTCTTGCCTGCAGAGTCGAAGATCGGTTCGTCCGTGATTTGGTTGCAGACAAGAGACATAACACACTTTTTTTGTTTCAAAAACAAACAGACATGCAGCAAACAATAATATTTGCAAAATATGCATTTCTTCGTAGAAAGACGTTTAAAACAAGAACTTGGAGCTTGTAGAACCTACAAACATGAGTCCAGCAGATGCCGGTTGCTTGGTCTCTCTAATCAAAAACTTGGAGCTGCAATTATCACTGGGTGACGTGGAGGAACTGGTGAAGTTAATGAAAAACATCTCCAATGAGATCACCAGAGAGACTGGAGCCACTACAAAACCACGAAATTCAGTTCGAGCATCATTGAGCAAGAATGTGGACCAAACTAAATTTGGTAGCTTGGGCAATGCCTTCGCAATCATCTTTGTCGAAGTGTTCGAAGTGGGTACTTTGGCTGCCTGCGATTGGGAGATCATCGAAACTGCACTGGAATGCATTGTTGCAGCAAAGCATGTGAGAGACTTCGAACTCTTGGACTGGGTCCAAGAGGAGGAAGCGAGAAAAGCTAGGGAAGCAGAGGCGCTGAAGGAGAAAGAAAATGCTGAGAAGGCTGAACAGGAGAAACTCAAACAACAGCACATCATGCGTCTGCAAGAGATCAGAGAGGTCAAAAAACAATGCGAACGTGATGAAGCCAAACTTGTGGCGACATGTCGAGAATCTTCCAGCTCGCACTATGTGGATGGAGCTCCCAAACCAGGTGATTTATTCCGAGGAGACACGCCCGAGATGAAAAAGCCGAAAAACGACTATCATGCCAAGGTCCAACCCAGATATGAAGTATCTCCAGGAAAGAAAAGGTGGATGAACGGAAAATGGTACAGACCTGAAGAAATTGAATTGTTTGAAAAATGTCGCAGAGAGACGGACGCAAGAATAGCAGCTAATAGGGCTGCAGCTTTGGCCCGCAGAGAGGCCATGGCACAGCAGAAACGATGAGGACAGAAGGATACCACAAAGAGACGGCATATGCTTGAAATGTTTCAAAAGGATTAGTTAGGGGGCTTGATCATGGGATGATCATCTTCTCAGAAGTATTTTCTCAGCATTCGGGCAGAAAAAGAAAGACCGGATTGTAATTCATTTCAATGTTTTACTGATCAGATTGAGAAAAGTGACTCCAATTCTTGATTCTTCCTCGTACGGCTCAAGGAGATGTTCTGTGCAATTTTTCTTTTATTTGATTCAGGACATGAAATGCGTACTTAACACAAGATGCAACTATGCGCTTTTATGTTATCAATGAGCTCAAGAAGTCGTCCTTTATCATTTCAACTAGAAAGCAGCAGACTGTTTTAATTGGCATTACGCAGCATTGCTCTATTCGCCATGCCACATCTTATGACATCTAAGTTACCAAGCGGCACGCCAGAATCTGCCAGATCATTCATTGGTTTGGTGAAACTCTTGAAGAAGCAGCTTACACTGGAGGATGTACAGCAGTTGGCAGTTTTATCCAAGTCCATGAAGGAGGTTACAACAATTTGGCAAAAACTTCTGTCCGACAATGGGAACGTACTGCCTCCAGAGTGGAACGCAGAAGAGGATTTGAGAAATGTGCAACATCGCTGTGATGACACACTCTTCAGTCAGGTTGGGAAAGCTCTAGCAACAGTGTTGACCGAATTGTTGCAGGTGATTGACCTCGACATTGAGAATCTGACTGACATTGTGGAACATCTCGACAACATGTCATCAACCAAGGAGAATTTGAACAATGGTTCAGCACTGGAAAAAAGAAAATTGGAATCTTGTCAGAGCCAAGATGACATTAGACGACAGAGCCTGGAACAGCTGCGGGCACTGCGACAGAAAAGAGAAGCTGTTGAAGACGAAGAAAAACAGATTGAAGCACTCATTGCCGACATTGACAAACGTCAGAACAGTGCTAAGTTCTCCAGTACAGCAGCAAGCAAACTTGCTGAAACTGTTCCCAATAGATGCATTGATTCACAAACTCGTGCTCGAATTTTTATGGAAGAATATCAAAAAAGGAAGCTGAGCATACCAGCCCAGGAATCAACAGAGACAATAAAGATTGGAAATCAGATGTGGAGTCCAACGCAACTGTTCGAAAGATGCAAGCTTTTGAAAGACGAAAAAGATCGAGCTTTTTCTGAAAAAAAAGAACAAGAAAAAAGGTTGCTCCAGGAGACTATTAAAACAAACAGAATAATTGCATTGGCCAAAAAAAAGGCCAGAATATTCCAAGCGCATCTGGATGATACATTTGCTTTTTTCAAATAACGGGGTTATGTACACAATTTCTCGTGTCAATGTGGGTGAGACAATACGTCTGCATCAGATGTAGTTGTCTCTGTATGTTCGACCTGGGGCGTAGAAGAAAAAGAGGTCGTCGACAGTAGAAGTTCATAAGCAATATTTGGCTTGCATGTAATTGGAAATTCTTAGCTTTCTTAGTGTTCTGCTATTCATCAAACCTTGAGTCACGCTTTGTTGATATATTGTTGTGGATTTGTTCTTGAATTAAACCTGAATCATGCAACTTCATGCGCTCACTTTATCACGAACATTTCCGACACATTTCCCCGCCGTCGTTTTTCGTCTCGAAGGCAGCACGTTCATTTTGCATGTGATTTGTCACGGATGACTTCTGCTAATTCTCGTCACCGTGCATGTTGTCATATGTGGACCTTCACAACGCCACAAGATTATTTGCAGAATGCAGCTGAACGAAAGGATCAGTGTCAGTATGTTCCAGAAGATTTCTCGAGGAACGACATATGTGAAATGTTTCGAACTGCTATGTCGGAACTTGGACACGGCTCCATTCTAGAGCAACTCGTTGTGGTCAAAGAGCCACTACTCAACCATTACGGATTTCAATTTCGTGTTATTTTCAAGACGAAAACTTCTTTTGCGAGTGACGACATTAATACACTGCTTGCCCAAAAAAGGGGATGCCGAGGTTCCATGAGCCATCCTGAGAAAAATTGGCAAAGTCTTGTACAGTATGTTCTGGATTGCAAAACAAAGCGAAAAGAGGTGGCCGAAGACAAGATCCCTTTATTTTGGCCGCACATGTGGCAGACCAAGAGTCAGGTGGTTCAGCAATGGCAGGATCAAGCAATGTCGCATAAACAGTGCACATCGAAACGAGGAAAACCAACCTTGGAGCAGCGACAGCTGAAGAGAAGAAGGACGCTGAAATTTGCGGATTTCGTGGAGATTGCAAAACAAAATGGCATCACCAATGAAAACGAGTTTTGGAAAATTGCTGGCAGAGAAAAAGATGCAGGTAACCATGCCTTGTGGAACTATGGAGGCAAAGTCATCGTCAGCCAGAAAATCTCCAAGATGTTACAAATGAAGAGCGAGTGATTGCGTGCACATTGTCTAGTAATTCAGGCAAGTCCTGTGATCGAATGAAGATCACCATGCATTGTTTTGCACAAACTGCATTGTGAGCGCAAGAAAAATTAACGCGCAGCATAGTGAAACAGCATATTTGAAACATTTTGCATAAGCTTAGAACTGAACTATGATCCGTCTTTGCAGCACGGCAGTTCAAACAGAATATCGCATTCACATTCGCATCATCCAGACATATTTATACGATATAATATATATATATACATCGGAAACAATAATACAAACAGCGATTCTACTGAATTGAAAGAACGTAGATTTCATGTCCTCGTCTCCCTCTGAGCCATGTCTGCAGACATCCTCAGTTCCGATTACTCAGAATGAAGAGCAAGCTGCTCAACAAAAGGATGATTCTTCATATGTCCTTTGTCAATACGATTCCTCTGAAAATGAGGAAGAAAAGGCTCTGAAAACGGAACACAGATCATGGATCATGATGTGGACCTTCCCCACACCGAGATCGTATTTGAAAACTTATGAAGAAAGAAAGAAGAAAAATGAGCTGATTCCAAGAGACATCAGCAGAGAGGAGCTCGAAAAAAACTTTTTGGATGCTTTGAACAAGTGCCAGCTGATGGGGAAATTGAGGCAGATGATAGTGGTTTACGAACCACACAAGAAGCTTATGCCGGATGGCAGTGCACACGAAATGCACTACCACGTTTGTTTCAAGATGTCTGCAAACTTTGCCCACAAAGGGGTGTCCAACACACTCGCTCAACACTATGGGCTACATGGACACATGTCGTACCCGAGGAAAGGCTGGTACCAAATGGCAAAGTACGTGCTCACAGACTCTGCTGTGAAGCTACCCGTACATTTGGACCCGACTCCATTATTCTGGCCGACAAGAATGACAAAAGAAGACATGCTGAAGAAGATGCAGCTCACCGAAGAGGACTACTTGAAAAAAAGAGCGGAAGAAAATAGGATGCAATGGAAGGAAGAAAGCAACAATGGCGATGGTACACATCAGGACCGATGGAGAAAAAGAAGGAGAGTGCTCGATTTCTCCGAATTTTCCGACTACGTCCTACACCACAAAATCACAAACGAACAAGAGTTCTGGGTGTTGGCTTGTAAGGAGAAAGAAGCAGGCAATCCAACTCTGTGGAACTATGGTGGAACGGCGGCTGTGGCCAAACAAATCCAGAAATGCAATAAGGCACACATGGCCCAATTCCGGGACGATGTCTTTTTAGGCACCTCCAAAGCTACAAGCAAATATCCATTATCTGCTTTCAACATCCCAGACGAAATTCGTGTTTGGATGAAACACTTCAAAGGTGAAATGGCTCTTATCATCCAAGGCGAGGGAGGACTTGGAAAGACAGAAATGGCAAAGGCAATATTGGCCTCAATGGGAAAGTACTTTTTTGTGGACAGTTTGGATACTGTGAAATCATTGCTTTTCACAGGAAAAGAGTCGATTCTTTTCGACGACGTCACACTGCAGAACTTCTCAGTTGACGAGGTGAAGTCGTTTCTCGACGTCAAATCGGAAAGAGCCGTGAAATGCCGCCATGAGGATGGTTTTATTCCTGCTGAGACTGTCAGGATATTTCTAACAAATCATGAACGGCATACCTTTTTTCCAAGGGAAACTGATAACAAAGATCATTCGAGGGCCATCAACAGAAGAATCATGTGGGTCACAGTGACCGAGAAACTGTTCACGGAATCAGATGGAAAGACTCAAAAAGACAAAGAAAAAGAAGTTGGAGTAGAGTGTGAGTCGGAGATTCCGGCAATGGATGATCTGGAAACACTCAAAACAAAACAATCGAGGAGCGCAAAGGAACCTTCCTTCAACAGCCCATTTGATGAAGAATATGAACCTTTGTTAGAAGAATACGACATGTTCGACGGAGATGAGGAAGCTGCCATGTGGATGAATCTTTCTTCGGAAGATGCATGCAGAGAATCTCCTGCCAGCTCAAAAGGATTGCCTTTGCTGAGTTCAGGGAAAACCTCGCCTTCCGCAAACAAAGAGCTTGAAGCAAAAATGATGATCGAGAAAGAGACAAAAAGACCCGGAAAAGATGAGACCGCTCACCTTGGAAAAGACACGGTTTCGACTGAGAATCATGAACATGATCGACCTGAACCCAAAAAAAATCAATCGAGTGAAGTGCATTGCCGAAAACAGTTTCCGACCTTTGGTCAGATACAGGAGAAAGAGCAAGCCGAACCCTCCATGGCACCACTATGAACATCGAAGAAGAGATGTACGATGGGGCACGTCACAGAAGTCATGGTGGCCGTGGCAATCATGAAATGCGAGAGATTTATCATTACAATGTTCATTTGGTTTTGCTCCAAAGCAGGGCTCTTCAACAGCGAGTGATCGGGCTTCAGATGAACAGAACTATGGCAGGATTATATATTTGCTATACGATTGGAAATAAAAATCATATGTACAAGCTGTTTGTTTCATCATGTTACCTCTTAGCTGCCCTGCACAATCATTCTGTCTCGTTTTCAACGAGAAATTAACGAATGCTGGGAAAAGCATTTGTGCTTCATTGTAGAATTTACATGAAGCTTAA